AACAGCCATATCTAGGAACAATGTTTAGGGAAGAGATCCTAACTCAACTGAGGATATCATGAAAGAGGCCTCACATAAAGGATTCCTGAGCTCGTGTCCTTCCAAAAGACTCACACCAGTGACTGCAGTGAGCTCCCAGGCCTTCGACCTTGAACGCTACCCAGGTCCTTTCTCCAGTACTTAGGTGGCCATTTTGGATTCTTGGGGCCCTGATCCGGCAGACAGCCGCTGGGACTCTTCCACTTCTGAGCTTGTGAGCCTACCTAATAAATCCCTGCTTAATCCTACATATTTTACACTGATTCTGTTCCGCTAGAGAACCCTAATACACTGCTGGGAACTTTGTACTTCAGCTGCCCAAAGATCAAGATGCCTACGCCAACTCCAGGTAGTGCCCCCATTTTTGTCTTTGCATAATATAGTTTTGCCTGCACTCTTTCATCTGTACCTTTTGAATGGAATCAAGCTAGATGCAGGGAACTGATCTAACCATCCCTGTAATGTTCTCACCAGTGAATGTTTCATCATTATTGTGAAATATATGATACTCCATCTATAAGTTTGATTGGACTTGCAAGCCATTTGCATTATCACAAAAATAATACATTTATAAGTGAAAGAAAAAGAAATGCTTACTCATGGAGCTTTTAAATGAACTGTTAGTCCTGGATACTTCTGGAACGTTATTTAAAAATATTTTTACATTTTTATATAGCCTCCTTTTGCTAATGTGCTTTGCATTGGTTGTGTTTATCAAATATGTGACAAGATCATCCATCAAAAGACTTAAACAGGAAGTGTGTACAGTCACTGTAAGCATAACATCTGACACAGGAAAATTGTGTCCATGTAAACAAGATCAAGTTTCTCATGTAAAAGTCCAAAAAAAAAAAAGCTTCATGTAAAAGGCATCTCTAAAAGCATGTTCCTTATGTATTTCTAGAAAAGGAAATGAGATTTTTTTTTTTCTGTATAGTCTGAGGCTGGGCACAGAAAAAAAGCTAGTCCTGACCAGTGTAGCCAGTCCAAGGGCTCTAGTAAGCCCAGGCCTGTACACCTACAGGAAGAACTGAGGGCATATGTATCTGAACACATCCCTGAGAAAAGCTTTCTTGTAGCCAACAAATCAACAACTACAATATCCTGTAGCAAGCCCTAGAAAACAGACATGTCTAGATTCAGTGTTCAGGGAAGAGATACTAAATCAACTTAGAACATCCTGAAAGAGTTCTCATATAATAGGCTCTGGAGCTCAAATGGAAAAAAATAGAAGTGATCTTGGGAGACCAGATGAGAAACAAAACTTCACCGCAGGAGGCAGGGGAGGACAGAATATACATGAATGTACAGAAGCTAGAAGAAGCTTCAAAAAATCCAATATAGTAGGAAGCACGGCTACATGAGTCACGTGATTACCACCTATGACCACTGGGGAGGCTACGGCAAACATTACGTGGAAGGAGGGATCCATTCACAAAAGGAAGGTCAGTGGGGGGAGGGGCGGACCACTAAATGTAGAAGAACCTTGAACCTGACACCTGGTAGTGCCCGTAATCCCAGCACTCAATGGCTGAGGCAGGAGGATTGCAAGTTCAAGACCAGCCTGGGATATACAGCAAGTCGTCGTCTCATGAAGAAGGGGGGATGATGGGGAGGAAAGGAGGGGGAGAGAAAGACAAGAAAGAAGGAAAGAAGGAACCCTTTCCAAGACAAAGACAGCTACCTGCCTACTGAAATGTGTCCCCGTCCCACCCATAGAGTTGCAGCTGACCACATTTCCTAGCCCCGCTTCCTTGCACTCAGTTGCATCATGTGGCTGAATTCCACCAATCAGGCTGAAGTGGGAAATAAGCACAAGAATGGGGTGACCTTCTAAGGCCCTTGAAGGAGAATATCCCACTGATAGAAGCACCTGCCTCAGACAACTGCTGACAATGAGAAATGAGAACCTATGCCTTTGATCTTTTGTTACTTGGGTACTTTTGATTTTAGCAGCCAGTATGGACCTAAAATACTTCCCAGGATATTTTAATGAAAATGGAGATTATCAAAAAAATTGATAGAGGTGAATATGACTGAATGGCTTATGAATGTGGATGGATAAGGAGCATTTAAAAGTTATCAAGGCTTCAAGATTTGACCCCATAATTAGACTGTAGGAAATTAGTCTACAGATATAGTCTCATATACAGATAAAGATACAGGTATAAATATAAATATTAATTGCACCTGCATGTTTAGTAACAAAAACAAACTAAGCATCCAGTAATGGAAGTTGCTTAAGTAAATGTTAGTATATGTGTTTATATACAGTAGGAAGCTAAGCTTTTCCTATATCCATAAGGCAAATCTACATGCACTTACAAGCAATGTTTTCTAAGATACATTAGTATGCAAAAAAGTAGCATACAGTAGGGGAAAGGGAATAAGGGAAAAGAGAAAATACGACAAAATGAAAAAATGGAACTAAAGTGTTTGTAAATGGGGAGGGGAGGAGGGGGTGAAGGGAGGGCAGGGACAAGGGGAAAAAATGAGAACCAAGACCTGTCAAGTAAAGGTACAAGATCCCAATAATGAATGTAATTGTACTGTATACCAAAAATGTACCAATATACTCAATAAAAGAAAAAAAGTAGCATACAGAATGTTGCTTGCATTATGATGATTTGAAAAATGATAATAATAATAATATAATACATAGGTCTTATAAAGACCTATCTTATTATTCTTATAAAGAATATCCAATACACTATTAGCAGCAGAAGAGCAGCTGGAGGGCTGGAGAAATCTAAAGTGGGGCCTGCTATTTATTGTGCACCATTTCTACTGCATGGATATTTCCATGTTGGTGCATTAATTATAGAAAAAATCAGGCCTGTACATATTCACTCGTATGAGGTTACCTGAGGGAACTGTGAAATCACAGGTGTGTGTGCCGCCTGGGTCAGGAGCCAGGCAAGAGTCCAAGGCAGTTCTCATCAAAATAACTGGTTGTGTACCCACCACTTAATACTCAACAGGTTCAGTCTTGTCCCTATCCCGTGACAGACAGCTGAGCCCTTAAGTTTCCAGTCTTTCTTCCTTGACATTTACATTTATGAAAAGGATTGCAGGCAGTTGCTAGTGGCGATATGGAACCAGCTTTGGAATAGAAACTTCCCCTGGTTCCCTCCCAAGATTTTGCATGAGGATTCAGGGAAGTGAGGAGGAACCTGTTAGAGTCCCCCAAAGCGCGCCTCCCTGCAGTGCAGGCCTGGACCACACTTCCGAGATTCCACGCCAGTCCGTCCACCTAGGTGGCGCCCAAGCGCGTGTGACCACAAGCTCCCTGGGAGAAGCTGAGTGCTCTGAGGGTAGGGACCATGCAGCATGATTAGGATGCCAAGACTAAAATGACAAACTTCACACTCCTTCACCTCGCTCTGCCAGCCAGGGCTCAGCCAGGAAATAAAAAAGCAACTGCAAATTTCAGTCAGTATCACTCAGGGAGCTTGATATGTGATGATGGAAGAGGAGAAAGCCAAGTGGGATACTGAAGCCCCCAGAGATTCGTAATACCTGGAAGACACTGCCTTCCTTCTCCAGGGAAGGGAGAGAGGAGGGAAATCAAGAGAAAGCAGATGTTTTTGGAGACATGAACAGGGCAGAAGCTGCAGGCCCATCCTGCAGGATCTGGAGCTGGGGAAAAGATGCAGCCAGTGCCACCAAAACGGAATGCTCTGGACTCTCCCTTCCATCCACCGGGCAGGCCCATCAGAAAGCCGGGAGACCAGAAAACAGAGGCAAAGGTGGGCTCCTGGGGCATGGAGAGCTGGCAACAGACTCCAGACCAGCCCACTAGCCTTGGTTCAATTTATGGTTGAAAACTGAGGCCACGATTTCCCAAAATACTTTTTTGAGTGGAGAGGCTGGTGACACAAGTACTTTTGAGAAGGGAAAGTCCTGAATTAGAATTATTGTTATCCTTTGTCTAGGAAAATATGCAAGATTTAAGCTTACCATCTACCGTAAAATGTAAATGGAACCTATAATTTTCTGTATGACTATCATACCACGCTTTTGTCTGTATGTTTACTAAGAAGGAAAACATACTCCCTTGAAGTACTTAGTGGCTTACCTTCTTAGTTATCTTCCAAAGCAAACTTCATACCATTTATTCATTCATCCATCCAACCACCCATCTTCTACATACCAGGCAAGGTTATAGATGCTGATATACAGGAAGAAAATAAACAAAATCTCCTGCCTTGAGCATTTTAATTTTAGTGTACTGTGAGTGTTTACTCTAGAATACAACATTTGTTCCAATGTTTACCAACAGAAAAACAAATTTGTTCACTTGAAATTAGAAACTCTTTTGTTTATAACTCTTTTGTTACGCAGAATACTTTTGCCCACAAAACTATGGAAATCAACTCAGCCACTATATCCTCAATATTCTTGTTTTGTTCTATTTTGTTTGTTTTGTTGAGATAGAGTCTCTCTATGTAGCTCAGGCTGGTCTCAAACTTACAGAGATCCTCCTGCCTCAGCCTCCCAATCCTGGGATTATAGGCATGAGCCACCATGCCCAGCTTCCTCAGTATTCATGTAATGGCCAATAACGCCAGGAGAAAGAAAAAGCTGCATTCCCTCTGTATAGTGTTCTATGTAACTTAAGAAAGTATTCAGAAGTCTGTTGCCAGAAATTATTTAGGGAAGGAAAAAATAATTCTGAGATTGAGCAGTTTAGTTAGATACCAAGAAGGAATGTGGTGGTGGGGAGGCACTTTACATAAGCGGTAAGAAAGTCTCTGAGAAATGACACTGAGCATGACCCCAACCACCTGCCCGACGTAGCGACCCTGGGAAGGAAGAGCTGGACTTTAAACTGTGTATCTGGGCTGAACAACATGGGGAGAATAATGAAATTCACAGCGGGACTGGAGGATAACAGGCAACTCCTCTAGGGCCCGTCCCCACCCCATCTCCACGCAGCTACCCCCCAAGCTCTTCCCCACCTCACCACAGCCTCCAGCACATCCTGTTTTATGGTCCTCGGACGTCTTTTCATGATCTAAAGCTGCATTGCTCAGATGATTACAGTTGCAAGACAGCGATAATGCTGAGAAGAAAATCCAAGTCCAGTGACGTTGTCCTTATATGATCGTCACAGAGGGCGCTCACCAAAACGTAGGTGGCAGAGGTCAGGCATTGCACAGGACCAACTCAGCTCATGGCTTTGCAATAATCCCTTAGGAAGCAAGAGTACACTTTAAAACAACAGTAAAAGGGGTAGTAAATAATCGGTTAGCAGTCATTCGTTGTCATTATCCAGTATTATGCACTGCGTTAACTGTACATGCTACACTCTCGTACACACGACTGGCAAGGCAGCAGGTTTGTTACACGACCTTTGGGGTCAGCAGCTGACAGGACTCGCTCGGTTCCCTCATTAACGTTTGGTCCACGGCCGTTTATGTGGTCTGTTACACCCCAGAACAGCACCAGGCAGACGTTAAGGGCTGCCCCCTTGTCTCTAGAGGAAAGCCAGCCCTGTATTTGGGTGCCTGGCACCCTGCAAATATTTATACATACGCAACTGCTGGAGCAATAAACAAACTCCTAAAGAAAGCAGCAGGGGAAGTTCTGTTAGTGATCAGCCATACATGGGACACAGCATATGGGGGCCCGTTATACAGGAGGCAAGAGAATTCACCACGATCAGAATGAGAAGACTTTGTTCCAAACAGAGCATCCTGTCAAGAGGGACCACGTGTGGATTTCTGAGAGGAATCCCAGCATCAGGGTGAGAGAACGGGTTTTCATTTTCATGGTTCTAGGAAGGTTTGCACTGAATGACATCCCTAGCTCTTTCTAAAAAAAATTTTTTTTAGATGTTGAGAGAGGATCTCACTTACTAGGTAGTTTGTGCAGACTGCCTCAGCCTCCCAGAAATGCTGGGATCACACGTGTGTGTCTTCACACGCAGCTGAGATTGGAGCTGTTTTGTTTTTTGTTTCATAAGGGATGGAGATGTGAGAGAGGGTGTGAAGTAATTGCAGATATCTCAGAAGTGCATTTTCTGGGGTATCTTCTTCTGGCTAATCTTCCAGGAGCACCTGCTTCGTATGCAAAGTTGCACATCAAAGCTGCAAACTGACAAGGCTATTTATATTCTTCTGCCTGGGAAGGCCCCTTCTCACTGGGTGAAAGCTATTTTTATCCCATGCTGGTTTTCGTTTTGGTCAGGGTCCCTGTGCTATGCCTACTTAGAACACCGAGGGCAGGCTTGGTCTACACAGAATTTTGCTGTGGTGAGTTTTAACCCTTTTGTTGCCGATGAATAATCACTACAATCTTTGCTGAGAACCGGCCTTGTGTCCAGCTCCGGGCCAAGTCAGTGGGAAGTCCGTGAAGGAAAGAGAGGTTTGTTTTTTTTTATTTGTTTGTTTGTTAATCCTCGGTTTCACGGGAGCTTATTGAAGGGAAAGGAAAGGAGGAAACAAAATACAAGAAAATTATACCTGTCTAGAGAGACAGCTATCCACACACATAGTACAGGTACTGGTGTTGTGTTGGAATTAGCAAATTCTAGGAAAAATAAAGCAGACAGGAGGGAGACTGAGGGTGGAGGGGCTGCAGTATTACCACGGGCCAGCCAGGGTCGGCCTCCCTAGGATTGTGAATCTGAATCAAGAGAAAAACGGGTGAGGGCGGTGGCAAGTGGACGCTGGCAGAGGGAAAAGCCAAAGGTCCCGAGGCTGGAGCGAGGGTTCAAAGATGGGCAGGGAGCCCCTGAGCTTGGAGGGGAAAGGAGCGAACAGAAACAGCTGAGGCTGGACGAGCAGGGCAGAGCGGACAGCGCAGTGTGCACCCCGAGGCACGTCAGGGACCCATCCGGGAACTCAGAAATGCTCGCTCTCAGGCCCCTCTCCGACCTCCCGAATCAAACGCCGGGGTGGGCCCGCAGTCTGCGTACTAAGAAGCCTCAACCTGGCGACTGTGGCGCGCGAGGAAGTTGGGGGCCCCCTGGGGCAGGGACCCCGCGGCGTCAGGATCGGTCGTTACTCTCGGCACGCCCAGGACCACGGCCGGCTATTGCCCGGGCTGGGAGGGCAGGGACCCGCA